GCCTAGTTTCCTCATCTGTGAGATGGCTTCATAACTGACCCCACCTCCGAGGATTTGTGGTGAGGATTCCATGAGATGTGTCACATGCAGTGCCTGTCACATCAAAAACAATAAAAACTACAATGACCATGACCACAGTAGCTGAGCTCTGCTGAGCACTGGTTGTGCTGGGCATGGCTCCAGGCCCTTCATGGCTCAGTTCATCCTGAGGTGGGTGCCATTATGTGGCTATTTTTACTTGAGGAAACTGAGGCACAGAGAGGGCAAGGTGCCTTGCCCAACGTCACACAGCTCAGCAGGGGCAGAGCAGGACTGGAAGCCAGGCCCATCAGAACTCAAGGCGCTACCCCTCCTGCCCGGCTGCTTCCTGCCAGCCTGTCCTCTTCCTCCTCACACTCCTGCCTCAAGAGGAAACCGCCAGGCCTCCGGCGGATGTCCCTTTCTTTCTGTTTCCTCTTCCCACACACGAGGCACGGGTGGTGGAGGTGGCTCCCTGCATCCCCTGCCCAGGCTCTGGGCCTCACCCAGTCTCCTTTGGCCTCTCTGAGCCTCAGTGTCCCCATCTGTAAAGTAGGTGCAATGACAGAGCCTGCCTTGAAAAATCCCAGCAAGCACTGAACAGACTAATACGATGGAAGCCCTCACATGCCCACTTGTCTCCCGGGCCCTTATGGCACCTGCCACAGGCCCAGCCTCACAGTCACGTTCACATCCAGAGACAGCTGCCCAGCCTGTGACTCTGCCTCCTCCAGATCAGACCCCAGGCATGGACAGGGGAGCTGAGGAGGCCCAAGGCCTGGGTGGCCTCTGGTCAGGAACCCTGTCCCCTGGACCATCTCCCCTGCTGGACTCAATGCTCTGGGGGGGACGGGCGCTAGGGACAGAGGGGCCCAAGTCTGCCCCTCACCCACCCAGTCAGTGCTTACTGTATGCATTGCCTCCCCCATATGACCACAACCCTACGGGCAGGAACTATGACCATCCCCATGTCACAGATGAGAACACTGAGTCCCAGCAAGGCCAAGTCACTTTCCCAAGGACATCCAGCTCAGAAGGAGCGGAGTGGGTGGCTCTGAACCCTGTCTGTCCAAATGGACCCCCAAGGCCCAGCCGCCCCCAACCAGACCACTTCCTCCTGGGAGTACTTGAGGCCCGTGGTGCAGGTGGAGGCTGAAGGCTGTGGGCTAAGTCCTCCCGAGGTGCCCCCTGCCTCCTTCCTCTACCTAGTCTTCAGGCTGGGCGTCAGAGGCCACAGATGGGGCATGCTGGACCCCCAGTCCTGTGTGCCAGGTGAGGGGGGCACCAGCCAGCCCCCTCTGGTTATCCCCATCTGTGAAATGGTGGCACTCGACAAAATGGCCACAGGAGACTTTCCTGGTCTGAGAGCCCAAAACAGATGTCCCCACCCAATTAGCACCCCTGGTTAAACACCACCACCACTAATAGTTAACAGTTAAGTCCTTCGGAGGGCTTCCTAGGCACCAGGTATAGCCCAGCTGCCCAGGTTCCAATCCCCTTGGCCACTCATGAGCTGTGTGACCTTGGGCAGGTTACCTAACCTCTCTCTACCTTAGTCTCCCCATATATGAAATGGGTGTAATCATAGAAGCTACCCTCCCAGGGCTGCTGAGATTAAATGAGGCCAGGCCAGTAAAGTGCCTGATAGGTAACGAATACTTGATAAATGCTGGCTGAAAAGGCATTTTTCAACAGTGGCTGGACCTCCATCATAACCCCCACTGTACAGATGAGAGAAACTGAGGCTCAGCCCCCAGAACCGACAGGGCTACCAGGGCTTCCAGACCATCTCGGCCAGCTCAGGCCTGGGCATGGAAACTGAGGCCCAGAAGATAGGTTATGCTCCACTGGAAATAGGCCCCCCAACTCCTGGCGAAGGCCCAGGACCCAAGGCCAGCCACCCCTGGCCCTGTAACTGCTTCTGTGGTCTATCCCCTGCCTTTGCTGGCCACCCCCAATGGAGACAACCCCCACCCTCCTCCCAAGGGCCAGTGCTTAGTGGGAGGGGAGTTGCTCCACCTCCTGCCCACCTGCAGGGACGTCACCGAAACCAGAGAAAGCTGTGACTCTTCTACCCCTCTCCTGATCTTAGGAAACAGCCACAGATGCCTCCTCTAACCTCCCTCCAACCCCCCACAGCAGGCTGTGGCCTCCCCTTACACACCTCCAGTAACAGGGAGCTCCCTCCCACCGCAGCCCTCACAAGGACCCCTGAAGTGGCCACTGCTGTCACCCTACCTGACAGATGAGCAGACTGACGCTCCGAGTAGGAAAGTTACAGGCCCAGGGTCATACAGCTGGCCGGAGGCAGAGCTGGGACCCAATTCCAGGTGAGGCTGACCCATGAGCCTCTGGCCACCTGGCCTCAGACTTCTGGGTGGCATTTGCTTGGCTGAGGCCCAAGTGAAATCCTGGCAGCTGTGCTCTCTCAGCTCTTGTCCTCCAGGCCTCTTTCTGTTCTGGGCAGCAGGGCCTTCTCCAGGCTGGCGCTGGGACTGCGTCTGTTCCCTCCCTGATGGGCACCCTTTAAGCAACAGAGCTAAGGTGTGAATGCAGAATTCAAGCCCTTCACCACCACCCCCAGTTGTCAGGCCCTCCTCTTCCTTTTGTTTAAAGCTTCTCACAGCCAACTCCAGGGTCAGAAGTCAAGGCCGACCACCTGGCAGGCACACTCAAGACTTGTGTTCTAAGCATCCTCGGCCCAGAGACTAGACGCTTTGAATCACTGAGGGAAACACTCAGGAACAGCTCCTAGACAGGTCCAAACACAACTGGAAGCTGTGGGAAGCTGTAGGACCTGAGGCCTGCTCCACTGTGCCAGAAACTCTGTGGAAGGCCAGAGCCCGGCTGACCCACTGATCGAAGGGGCTGGGAGAGGCCCCACCAGGGCTGCTTGCTTTTTGGAAGACACCGTAGGCCCCACAGCAACCACCAAGGCTATGACAGAGCCCCAGCCAGCCTGAGCCAAGGGTCAAGTACACACCCACCAGAGTGACTGAGAGGAAAGCCTCTCAGCACCAAGTGCTGGTGACAATGCGGAACCACAGGACGCCTCACACGCTGCTGGTGGGGGCACAAAAGGGTGCAGCCACTTAGGGAAAAGTTTGGCAGTTTCTTACAGAGTTAAACATGCACTTACTGTATGCCCTAGCAATCCCACTCCAGGAACCTATCCAAGAAAAATGAAAGCATATGCCCATGCAAAGCCCTGTATGCAAATTTCATAACAGCATTATTCGTAAAAGTCCCAGAGTAGAAACAATCCAAATATTCATCAACGGGTGACAGGATAAACCAATTGTGGGACATTGTACAATGGAACAGCATTCAGCAATAAAAAGAAATGCACTTCTGATGCATGCAAGAACATGATGAATCTCTAAAATGCCATCCCGGGCAAAGGGCTGGCCAGTTAGCTCAATTGGTTATAACACCACGGTCAAGGGTTTGGATCCCCATACTGGCCAGCCTCCAAAAAAAACTAACAAAACATTATGCTGGGCGAAAGGAACCAGACATAAAAGGTGACATACAGTGTGATTCCATTTACACGGCATTCGAGAACAGAGAAATCTAACCTGTGGAGATAGGAGTAGGTGTGCGTGTGTGGGGGGGTAGTGACATGGGGGAGGCATAAGGGAGTCTGTTGGGGTGTTGTGTCCCTTGGGTGTACACACACGGAAACACCCATCAAGCTTCAAATGCACTTTACACACTTCAGTGTGTGCATGTTACACAGCCATGAAGTTTAACCTCCCACCCCCAACTGCCAAACTGGGACCCCTCAGTTATCCTCCCACAGACCCCATTGCTTTTCCTCTAGAACACAATTTGTAGTTTGTAATTACATGTTCATTTGTGAGTTTATTCCTTCAACAGCCCCCACTAGAATGCCAGCTCCCCCAGTACCCAGCATATGCCTGGCACACAGTTGGTGCTTAATAAATATCTGTCAAATGAATGAACAAATAACTCTTGGTCTCCTCTGCTTTGACCGTGAGCCCCTCAGAGCTGGGATCACATGTTTTGCTCAGGCTACATAGCAAGGCCCTAGCACATAAGAGGACCACAAAGAAGAGAAAGGAATTAAATGAAAGCCACACAGTCCTGTCAACTCGATACACCTAAGTCAAAGCTGGAGATCATCAGGTGTGTGGAACACAGTGACCCTTCAGCTTTAACTGCACGGTAGGAATTAACGTGGTTGCAAAGGAAAAGGACGAATTTTTTTTAACTTGAAAGAAAATAAGACAACAAAGCATGGGAGGTGCAAAGAAATTCTACAACGGTCTTGAACCCTATAGAAATAAAACACCATTTGTCGCAGTCAGTCTGGGTCAGGGTTTTCAAAGACCTTGGACCAACCTGCCACTAGCCCACATTACATCCAAATGTGAATCAAAGAGGTGTCCCTGGACGTTCTACAAAATCCTTGACTGGTACTACTCAAAAGTGTCAAGGCCATCAAAAACAGGGAGTCAAAAACTGTCACAGCCAAAAGGACCTAAGGAGACATAACAACTGAATCTAATGTGGTATCCTGGGAACAAGAAATGGGTATTGGAGAAAAACTAACAAAATCCAAAGCAACTGTGGAGTTTAGTTAAAAGTAATGTACCAGTGCTGTTTCCTTAGGCATGACAAACGTAGAAAATGATGTAAGATGTTAACATTAGGTAAAGCTGAGTGCGGTGTATAAGTGAACTAAATCTAAAATGACTCTAAAATTAAAAGTTCATAGCTCAGTCGGTAAGAGTTCAGTGTTGTGACACCAAGGCCAAGGGTTCAGATCCCCGTACTGGCTAGCCACCAAAAAATAACTAAGTTAATAAAATCAAAAGTTCATTTTTAAAAAGGCATGCTTTCTACTGGGCAGTCTGCAACCACCTGCTGGAAAACCGTCACCGTCCCCCCCCCACCTCCGCGCTCTCAGCACGGTCAATGGCGCTGGCGCAGTGCGCAACCCGCGCAGCAGTGCTTACCTTGGGCGGGTCGAAGAGCTCCAGCACGCGCTCGGAGCCGACATCGGGGCCTGTGCCTCGGCGTAGCGCTAGCCTCCCGCGCTGCCAGCGCGCCCCGCTGTCCATGGAAGCCTCGTCGGCCAGGCTGTACCGCAGCGCCGCCTCCTTGAGGGCCTCAGGTGGCGGCTCCCGGGCCAGGCTCCAGGGCAGGAGCTTCCTGGCCAGGCCGGGCCTTGCTGGGGCGTCGCCCGCCTCCGCAGGGGCACCGGGGGCGGGGGCCGCGGGCAGCTCCCCAGCTGAGCGGCGGCGGAAGATGTGGCGGAGGCTGCGGCGAAAGGGTTGGAAGGCGCAGGGGCCGGGG